GACAGATGGCAGCAGTGGCATGAATGATGGTTCAGCAGCACAGAAGCAGCAGCAGCAGGCAGCGACGCAGAGCAAACGGCGGCAACTGTGAGCCAGTTGCGGTGGCAGCAGCAGCTGAGGCATTGCTCGACATTTCTTCCCCCTGCATCCCGGGCGGGAGGTGAACTCACATGAACGCACCTCTGAACTCTGGGTCTTCGCTGAATAAGGACAGCAGCTGTGAATGGGGTGCGGTGAAGGGAAAGGGAAGTGGCGTGTGAAAGGAACATTTGTTTGTTGAACTATCACACCGCAAAGTGAGAAATGGAGGCAAAGGACACTGCCTAATGTACTATGGGTGGAGGGGATGGGGGACTTTTGCTCATGGTCAGTTATGTTAAAATCATGGTTATGGTGTTTTCCCAAATTAATGGCAGGTTCCTCCCCCCTTTTTAGGGGGGGAGGGATAGCTCAGTGGCCTACTAAACCCAGGGTTGTGAGTTCAATCCTTGATGGGGCCACTTAGGGATCTGGGGCAAAATCAGTATTTGGTCCTGCTAGTGAAGGCAGGGGGCTGGACTCAATGACCTTTCAAGGTCCCTTCCAGTTCTAGGAGAGAGGATATCTCCATTAATTTAAAAAAAAATTATTTATTTTATTAAAAGTTTTCTCTGCTATACACAGACTCAGTGCTTGCAAGTGGGGAAGTATTGCCTCTTAGAGGCACCATGGAATGGTGTTTAATTTTCCCAGATTGCTGGGTGGGGGCTCGAGCCAGTTCTGTGTTGTATTGTTCAGAGGAACCCCTGGATATTGAATCCATCCCTTGTTGCTGCCAACTCCACCTAACAGAAGGAATTACAGATGCCAATATATGGATTTAGAAACTTACGTTTATGCATCCAAGTCTGAAAAATATTGACCTACATAGTATTTGCAAGTTAAAAATATTCTCATTCTTGGCTTTCTCCTTCTTCCATTCATTCTAATGTGTTTCCCAAGTCTGTGACGTAAGGCTTGAGCTGAACCCTCAAATGCCAGTGGTGTCACTGATTGAGGGTGTAGATTAGGGTTACCATATCTCATAAATAAAAAAGAGGACCCTCCACGGGCCCTGGCCCCGCCCATTTCCCCGCCCCTAGCCCTGCCCCAACTCCGCCCCTTCCCCACCCTAACTCCGCCCCCTCCTCCCTTCCACTCCCAGCCAGGGGGAAAGGGCTGCCCCAGTGCTACCGGCTTCAGGGTTTGCCGGGCAGCCCCCAGACCCTGTGCCCCCAGCCGGCGCTTCCCCAGCGCAGCTGGAGCCCGGGAGGGGAAGCGCCCAGCCAGGGGTGCAGGGTCTGGAGGCTGCCCGGCAAACCGTGAAGCCGGTAGCGCTTGGGCTTTGGGCAGCCTCTATGCTTCTGGACCCTGCGCCCCCAGCCGGGCACTTCCCCTCCCGGGCTCCGGCGGCGCAGGGTCCGGAGTCACGGGGGCTGCCCAAAGCCGGTAGCGCTCGGGCTTTGGGCAGCCCCTATGCCTCCGGACCCTGCGCCGCCGGAGCCCGGGAGGGGAAGTGCCCGGCTGGGGGCGCAGGGTCCAGAAGCATAGAGGCTGCCCAAAGCCCAAGCGCTACCGGCTTCCCGGTTGGCCGGGCAGCCTCCAGACCCTGCACCCCTGGCTGGGCGCTTCCCCTCCCGGGCTCCGGC